AGCAATTAGGGGCTCCTGGCATCGCTACTAGGAGCAAGGACGCTACTTGGGGCTCCTGGCCTTACTACTAGGAGCAAAAAGCAATTAGGGGCTCCTGTCATCGCTACTAGGGGCAAGGACGCTACTAGGGGCTCCTGGCCTTACTACTAGGAGCAAGAAGCTATTGTAAGTTTCGTTTCGTTTGTGCGCGCCTCACATGACTTGACCTTGTGAGGCGAATTTGTGGACGCTTTGGTGGAGTATGCGCTGAATGATGCCGGGACGTATGCCCTTGGGACGGGAGTTGTGATTTTTGGTGTTCCGTGTCGGGGTTGCGGAAGATTGTGCTTCGATAATCCGGAGCGATTTAAGAGAGGACCGTGCTTGGCATATTGAAAACTTTACAGCTGCTTCCTTGAAGATTCCAGCGTCATGGCCAGAGCAAGTGAGGCACTTAATTGCTACGTGTTCTACAACTGCAATGGAGAGCAGGCCATGCTTACAAAAAATTGTACATTCGTCATGCACAACCCCCAAAAAAGAATCACATTGCGCGGCCTATGGAAGGTTTTAATTCTTCTAGTTGCTATCACATTTCGTGGCTTGAATGACTTCGCCCTTGGTGGATTGGACGCTGGAGCTGGCAGGCCCAGTTAAGGCGTTCATATCGCTTTCCTGCACTGGCACCTTTTGCTGTGTCGCACCGGGTAGTGCAGCTTGACTCTTGGCCAAGTCACCGCAACTCTGTTTTTGTATGTTTTTTTGGGACAAGAAGCGCTTTCGAAGACGGGCGCCACCCCGTTTGATATATTCGATACAGTAAATGCATTTACCATGCGAAAAACCATGTTTTGATCAAAGAATCAAAGGACAGACAGCTGCTGGTTGAGTGTGCCGTGGCTGCAAAACAGATTGTCGAACTGATGTGATTGATAAGGTCGGCTTTTGGTAGAGGTTCACCCGCTGAGGTTTGATTGAGAATTCAACAGAGGGCAGCATCTATTTGTGTGCTGGCTGCATATTCCCAAATGTGGAATCTGATTTGCTGAACAAAGCTGATGAATATGAGCCATTTTTGGAGACTTACTGTAGTAGTTATAATATATATATATATGTAATATGTATCTATAGATTCAATCAACTTGTGTACCTAACCACCTTCGAAGGCTCTTGATTTGAGTTTTGCCCAGGTCATCCTGGCATTTGGAGTGTGCGGATGGTTTCCAAAGTGAGCTTCTCACCGAAACGGACAGCCTCGAGACAGGCAAGATGTCGAGAGAGTGGTTAGTGTCATTCCAACGAGGCTTGGATGCTTTGATCAAAACGAGCTGGGTTTTCAATCACTTTCCTTTGTAAACCAGGGCGGCAACATGTGTGAACGCCGTTTGCAGGATGCGCTGGTCCTCTTCTAAAACAGCGAGGGTGCTTCTCGCTTGTCTTTCGTGTGGCTGCAGATGAGACCCTGGACTCGGTAGCTTGGCTGTAGACCCGACACAAGAACAAGACTGATGATGCAAGCATGCAAGAATGCATCAGTATGACATGATCCAGCTTGCATACCCGTTTACCTACAAGAGGCAACGGAGTCCATTTTTCCCATGGCACTTCGATATCGAACAAAGACGAGAGAAACGCACACCAAGACAAATAAGGAGAATGCGGAGGTTTCTCTCGACACAGTGGTTGCCTTGAGGTTGTGGTGCGTCAATGTGAAGTGATTGGGACGCTGTCCCTATGGTGGCAAGTGCCGGATGGCCCCAGAGGCTGCATGGAAGGTCACCAAATCCAAGTGAAGCCCATTCAGGCAGGGCTTGGCAGATCTGGTGAGAATGATGGTGTCAGCATGCTTAAAGCTTCTGGGTTACTCGTGACTAGTGCGTGTAAGACTCTGGACATCCAGGTTTCAATCAACTTCAGTGTCACTTGTCCCTACGTGATTCCCCTGTCAGGTGCCCAAACTGGACCTGCAAGTGGTGGAATGCCCCAAAAAAGTGCAGGTAGAGGCAGGGTCTAAAGAGTAGGCTGAATCCGAAATTTCAGCTGATTTTTCACATGTTTTACATCTAAATACAGTAGATGACCCAACATACCCAACCCTGGTGGAGGTACCTTTCCAACTGGAGCTGCAGGTGGGCGAAGGGTTGGTTTTGTGCGACTGCATTCTTGTGTCTGGATTCAACCGTTGAGGTGATGAACCGAACGGAGGATGTCTTGGAGCCAAAGGTGAGGGTCGGATGTCTTCATTTGGTCATCTCAAACCTTGCATGGAAGACATGGATTATGCATTCAGTGTGAGCACCTGGAACCTAGGGTTTGTGGTGTGGTGTCAGGTGAGCTTCGACCTCCGGTTGATGGGTGCCGTGAAAATCCAAGGGCCCTGCCAAAGACTTCTACGGATAGAGCCTGGAGAGAGGAGCGAGATTGTCGGATTTTTGGAAAGAGTGAGTGAGGTCTCACAAACCGCGAAAGGCAATTTGGGATGGCTAAGAAAGTCGGGGTTCGTTCGCACAGAAGGGTTGCCAAACATCTCCAAACTAGGTAATTGGACAGAAGCTGACAGGGAAGGATAGGGCATAGGGCATAGGCAGGTCAATCTGACAAGACATAAATGTCTAAGAGGAAGCCAGTTGGAAGGCCATCACTTCTTGGACGTATCAGGCAGCGCCTTCCCATTGAACTCGTTGTAACAGTGCCTGGGCTCCATGGTCTACAAGGCATTTCCATTGCCTACGACGACCAGGCCTAAGGGCTTCAAACACAGATGAAATAAAGCCAAGCCAAAAGGCATTACATAAGTAGTTCGCTACACCCCGAGGTTCAAAGTACATCTTCTAGTTCAAGACTACAAAACCTTTTCAGTATTTGGCTTCTTTACAAAAGGCAGAGGAAGCCTGTGGGTATGAAAGGACAAGTTTCTTCCAGCCACTTAGGCTTGACACGTCTTAACACGTCTTGCTTAGTCCGTTTCACATGGAAACCAAGAATTCAGCTGCTCTGCAGGTTCCCAGGCAGGACTTTGGAGTTCTTTGTGACTTGCTCGCCTTCTGAGGGTGGAAAAAGGAGTTGTTGCTTAGCCCGTGCAGGATTTCTTTCCAGAGTCCTTGCGCAACCTCGTTACCTGCTTTCCCTCGTTCGTTTGATGCCGATGCCGATGCGCCAGGCTTTGGAGAACACAACAGACATTCCAGCCTCCTTTGGTGTGAATGCCGCACCACCTTTCCGCCCTGCACCCGGCTAATTGCACGTGCATGAGAATGAACGAAAGCTTCTATCACCCCGATGACCGCCACACATGTGCCTTTTCATTGAATCCCGCCCAAGTGGTTCAGGGGGACAGAGTAATTATGGAAGTGCTACTCATCAGAGTAATTATGTGTACCAGTTGCATCATCCACGCATCCGGACCCGATATCCTGCGGCCTTTGGAGTGATGGTTTCGTGGCCCAATGGCCGCCGAAAGAAGGAACGAGACAAGTTGTTGTTCTGCGTTTCAAAGAGTTGAGCGGGGAGAACTGAGACGATGTTCCTAGTAGCGATGCCCTTTGCTCCTAGTAGCTTCTTGTTCCTAGTAGTAAGGCCAGGAGCCCCTAGTAGCGTCCTTGCTTCTAGTAGCGATGCCAGAAGCCCCTAGTAGCGTCCTTGCTCCTACTACAACAACTTGAGAAGTGAGATGTAAAGTCACCATGTTTCTTGTGGTGCAAAAGATCATTTGGAAGCTATTTAAAGCTCAAGCATCAGGAACCTGTGAGGGTGCACTGCACAACTGCATTTTGGCGATGACGTTGAAGCAGCTTTCTCCTGCATTTTTTTGTTAACGCTCAGCAAAACTTCTTCCTGTTTCTCCCGAAGCCATGGCCTTGACGCAAGCATTTGTGCTTCCATCTGTTCCGCTGGTGCAGGGTGGCCGAGTTCTCTTGTTGTCTTGCCTCTCTTACGATGACGATGGAGTGGTGCTCTGGTGCTGAAATCCGAGGCTTTCTCCGACTTCCCGGCCTGTCCAACACTCCGTTCAGGTGGAGACACAGGGGGAGAGAGAGAGAGAGGGACAGAGGGGCAGAGGGCTGAGGGTACAGCAAGAGAGTAGGGACAGAGCGTTGCAGTGTCAGGATAGGCGATCGGAGCCGCCGCTTGGCAGAACCCAACCTTGAAGCAGTCTCCAAAGAATTCGTGCTGAGACATCAAAACATATTTGACCTTACATAGAACTCAAAGGCAGCTACTGTTCAAGTAAGATTTTCCACAGTGAAGCCGAAGCTCCTCGACTCAGCCATCGCTTGCGCATGATGCTCTTTGCAATGGGCCAAGCCCGAGGTTTGGAAGCCTCTGCAAGATTGCTTTGAGTGCTGCTGTGGCACAACGTATTTTGACCAAGGCCTTTGTCCCAGTCAACATACATTGAGAAGCTTTGTGTGAAGCAGCTTCCAAGTGGCCAGAACAGAACTGATGATTTGCATGCGTAGTGATGAGAGCGAAGGGAGTCCCTGATCAATGAGTGACACATGATTCGCCTCAGTAAAAACCGACCACCCATCACCTGACCGCTTTGGTGTCTGGCTCAGTCGGCTCGACGTGCACAACAACCCAAAGATGCGAAAGAGCATCGGCTCACGTCCAGAGCTGAGACTTACCCTTTTTTGACGATGAGAGCCACTTGTGTCAAGTCTAAGGAAAGTGTGACTAGTACTGTAAGTGGAAGTGACACCCATTCCCTTAGGCGAGCCTAGCGAGCAGAGATAGTAATAGGGCAACTTCTTTGTTCTCGCAGTGGTATTGGGGACTGGCGCTATTTCTAAGAATCCGAGCTTTGTTTTGAGAAGCCAGACCTAAGTCCCTGTGAAGGATCACGTGGACTACGTATGTTTGATGCATATAATTACAAAAAGATTCAACTCAGGACAAGGAAAACGTCTGATCCACAGAACATTACCATGCTGGACATGGGCACTGCATACACAGCCATGGCCCCAGCGAGTTCAGTCTTGAATCTTACACCAGAAAAAAGGCGGATTTGCTAGCACACTTTAATCCCGTTACGACCCAGAGTTTGCGCCTAGATCTGCACGTGAATCACGCTCATGTTCCTGTCCTGACAATCTCTGCCATCATATTTGTCACTTGAGTCATTCAGGAGTCACTGCAATCTTTGAGTGCAAGCCTCGAAGTTAGACTTGTGCAGTTTTGCCTTTTCTTAATTGGGTTCCAGCGCCATGCCGGACATCGCGAAATCCGACATCTCTCCGAACCTGGACCGTGACAAGATGTTCAATGAGCTTTGGTGGTTGAACTATTGCTTCTGCGAAGGGGTTGGCATTGGCGCGGTTGGGAATCCATTCTTTGGAGGAGAGGCAGTGAATATTTGCTTGCACTCCAAGTGCCCCTCGGCAAAGCCACAAGCTTAGACTTAGTATCTCTTAGAGTCCTAGACGATTCAAGCTTGGTTCTCGTTAAGACTTGACCGGAGTTTTTGACAGACCACCTTTACGTTGGGTTTGGCATCGTTATTTGTTTGAGCGAGGTGAGATGACCGACATTGGGGATCCCTTCTGCTCCAACATCCGTGTTTGCCTATGCCTCACCGATCAATGCGCTCTTCCACCTGCGCCTGGCTCCCCGATCTGTGTCTGCTTCAACAAAAAGCTCGCTGGCGATGATGGCTGGAGTGGACAGCAGCTCTTCGATTGGAGCACGAACTTTGGTGACACCTTCTGGCTCTACTACATCTTCTGCATGGGACTTGGCTTCTCTGCTCCTCAAGCCAATGGCCGTCCTTTCTTTGCTGTGCAGACGAAGGAGCTGTGCATCAAGGGCGGAACCAAGTTGGCTATGCCCATGGAGGGCGGAAAGCTGTGCTCCGCTGTGAGCACTCGTCTTTGCTTCTGGGATCAATGCGCTATGCCGCCAGCTGAGGGGGCTCCAATGTTTGTGTGCTTCAACTTGCTGAACCCCAAGTCAGGGGCGAAGCCTTTGGCATATGGATCTTAGATTGCAGGCAAGAGCCAATTCCTTTTTTGAACTGCCTCTGGTCCACGGTGATTTGTCACCCAGACCAGGCACTTACACTAACTCTGTGGCACTACTCCGCTTCTTTCGGGGCTTGATTTGGGTCGGCCCCCAAAGAGCTACCGGTGTTCCTTGAAAACGGAGCTTGGACAGTGACACTCGCATGGATGAAGAAGTGGATGTGGTGTGTCAAAAGAACTTGGGAAAGCACTTGGTGGTATTCTGGGTCCCCTTAGATTGAAGCAACGCCAATGGAAGCCATGTACCTGTGTCACATCCCCAACTGTTTGCACAGGTGAAGGAGGACTTGAGCAAGCCAAGACTTACTGTGGCTAAATCGCAGCAGGACGATTTTGGTTTGAAGGGAGGTTACACAGGTTGATTGGAGGGACGCACAGCCAAGTTGTCAGCAAATTATTTTTGATCTTGACTAACAGCCATCCAGACTCCAGACAAGTGACCTGGAGCCTGATGTTGCTTTGTGACGCAAAGTATGCGTTGCATTGCGGAAAGGACAAAGTCACTGTCCGAAAAGGCAAAGACACCAAGGCGAAGGACCCCAAGGAACTCATCAGCGAGGTGTGACTCTGAAACGAACCGTCGAGACAACGCATTCCGAGACATAGAAGTCAGTCTTTTCCTGTATTTCCGGTATGAGACATTGCGAAGTGCAAGACTGAAAAGGCAAAGAAACGATCAAACAAATGTAAAGACCTGCTTCCACTTGCAATCCAAGACCAGCTTCTTTCTTGTCAAGTCGATCTCAGTTTCAATGATGGTGACAGAAGGCTGACAGCTGAATTTCATCGGAATCTTCACAGCACAGGTGGCCGCTGAGTCGCCCGACATGGATGAGGCATGTGCAGAAACAGTCGAGATGTGTAGAAGAAGTGTGGGAAACACTCGTGGACGATGTTCATTGGCCCTATTTTGTTTATTTCGTTCTGTACAACCAACACGTGCATTTGATGGCAGGACTTTTTGAAGGAACTGCTGGAGATGACAGCGATTGAACGAGCAGATCTCATAGCGCCTGGGTTGGTTTACAGTAGACATTTTTCCAATCTCAGCCACACCGCGGGACAACATCATACATATTTGTTGGCTGAGGAAGAATTGACACGGAAGGCTTTCGTTCTCATGGAGGCAGCTTCGTCTCCCTAGGACAATGTCCATGGAGCATCATGGAGCTTTGGTAGATGCCAATTCTTTGCCCTTGTTTTTTTTCTTTGTTCCATTTTATAAGACCTTTAGACCTTTTTTGAAAGGACCTTTCTTCTTTAGGCCTTCGTTTCCTCGTTTCCTTAGACCTTGAGGCATCATGGAGCATCATGGAGCTTGAAGTTCCGTCCTTTTGCGGATTTATAAAAGCACCAAGCCCCGAAGCACCGTCTCCTTTTTGCTTTTGTGTTCCCGGGCAGGCCGGTGAGATCCCTGAAGCCAAGCAACACTTGGAGCGAGCGAGCCGAATTGCTGCTGCCTTCGAACGTCTCAATCAGGAGACCTTCGAACACCCACTAGATCTGATTTGTAGTTATTATATATATAGATATAGTGTGTCTAAAAAGCCCATGGGCACTGTCATTTTTTTAGTTAAATCACGCAGGATCATGCAGAAAGATCGGCTAGAACTGTGCCAACACTTTGGGTGTGGTTGTAACCAAGTCTCCCATTGACATATCAAAAAAGCCTTCGCGCTGCAGGAGGTCGAAATCATCCGGGAAAAGCGCTCTGCGGGCGGAAGAGTGGACGAGACACAGGCGTGAAGCCGAGCAAGGTAACGAGTCGATGGAGTTTTTTGAGTCTTGTTAGTGGCTCCATGACTCGCTGCCTGCTGAAGTTTCACTGCTGCGGCAAAGAAACCCGGAGCCCACAAAGCCCAGTTGTGTTTTCATGCTTTCTCTTTTTTTTTGCCCAACGTTGCTGTTGAAATGACAGGTTGTATTGGAGTTGCGGGAGGAGTTGGACAGTGTCATGAACTAAGAACCCTCTTTGGCCATGGCTTGAGATCAAAGCTTGGACAGGGATTGTTCAGACTGCCATAGCATACGCAATACAAACCTAGCCAGGGCAGGCAATAGACCCGATGAATTCATACAACTTCCTCACATAATATGGTTATCCTTTTTCACTAGTCCAGGGCTTGGTTTGAGGGCCTCGTTATGTGCACCCAGGAAGACTTTGCCAAGATCTTTGGGCCACAAGCGAGGTTTGCCCGATTTATCGGTCAATTGTGACAATGAAGGGCCGGCGTTCGTGGTACGATGTGGGTGCATGTCAAAGATGTGGGGGGAGATGTGGGGGCTTTATATGCTTCACATTGCTTCAGCTTTATATGCTTTATATGGGAGTTGATCGAAAACCCCGTGTAAGGAGTTTTATATAAAACAGCCTTTCAGATGTTGTTAGAACCATCCGCGAAAGATTCGCGATGAGGTTCGCGAAAGTATCTTTTTTTTTCCGGGAAAGATTTATCGAAGGTCATCGCTTTCATTGTTTTCCTTTCTATCGGACTGACAAAGAATAGAAACGCAAGGCAATCCTCCGGCAGAGCCAGTGGGCGGAAGTGTCCCCATATGTCACAGACTAACGAACTGAAGCCTCAACATTTCCGTGCCCAGCCCTGGCAGTGCGTAAAGGATTCTCCGATTCCTGTCCCCACTGTCACAGACTAGCAATCTGGGTAGGCACAGCCCTGACAGTGAGGCAACGACCTGCAGCTGCTCTGACGGGCTGTGCAGATGTTTGCAAATGTTACGGCTTCCCGGGGAAAGCACGAGTGAAAGTTTGCGAAAGATCCGCGAAAGTTTCGCGAATGTGCCGCTAAAGTCTAGGTTCCCAGCTTGAGGCCCCCCAACATTCCCCAAGCTGCATCACCCTGTGTTGGTAGCTGGCACGAGGATTGGGTTGAGTTGCGCCGGACTCCTGAGTAGCTGTGGAAACGTTCAACCATCTACTGCAGGGGTCATGCCGCAAGATGTCTCTCCCTATTTTGTGGTGACATGTTCCGGCTCATGTTAGCTAGACACGGTTGTAGGACCATGCTTCACGATGAGGCCGCGAAAGATCCGCGAAAGATATCTTTTTTCCGCGATGAATGGCCATTCCAGGATGAAAGAATATTGATCAACCACCATATGTTTCACTGAAAATGTGTAAAGAGATGCCCAAGAAGGGTCACTGGACGTTCCCAAGGTTCCTTTTCTCACTTTGCTTCTGTACCCACAATGTCAAGGTTCACGGCCGAGAGTTCCAGAGGGCGCACAAAGACTCTTGCCCTGTCGTGCCGGTTGAAGCATGCCGACCAAATCGTATGTGTCATTAAGAGCCATACAGTCGATCATGAACACTAGGAATCACGTGCAGTCCTTTAAAACCTCTACCCGTGCCTGATTGGACATGCTTCACACTTGAACAGTGAGATCAGCCGTACTGCGTGTTTGGAGTAGCAGCTTGCGGTCATGAAGGGCATTCTTGAATTCGAGTCCCTTTCATGATCATTTTAGGATATCTCATGCTGATTTTTTTGTTGTCACGATTGTTGCGGAAGAATGCGTAAAGAAGAGTCGTTGTTTTGCACTCCTGCTTCGCACCGCGAGCTGATGTTCCGGGTTCTGAAAGCAGTGCGCTTGTGGCAGCATTCTGCACCTCTAGCGAACAACGTGTAGCAACTTGTGAGATGAATCCGGTCTTCGGAAGACATGCTGTGCAGTGTTACCGGTGGAATGGATTTGCCTTAGCTTTCTCTTGTGGTGAGACAAACCATCATCAATTTGATGGTTACTCAGGTCGGCGATCGAAAAATTCAGGGTGTACCCTGCTTCATTTTTCGTCACTTGCGTTTTACCCACTTGACTTCAGAGTAGCCCTAGCCTGCCAACCTTTCGCCCAAATCAGTCTTGGCTCAATGGACACAATGACTTCTGTAAATCCCACAGCAACACTCCCAAGCAACTGCTGTGACACAATGATCTAAAGCTTGAGCCATGGGGTAGTGACATGACGGAGCCGTGAGGAGATGCCGGCATTTTCAAAGCGCTTGGAGTTTGAGGCGAGGAATCAATTTTTTGTTTTTAAGGCTTGGAGATGCCAATTCAGGAAGAGCAAGATTTGCACATGCCCTGTGCACAACATGTTGCACATGAGAGAATCTTGGATTCATCTCATGCATGTGACTTCTTGCCCATCCAGAACCGCAGGTGACGGTCACTGTGGCGGGGCCGGTGGGCCTGGTCCTATCACCTGGAAGGCCCATGACGGTGGAGTCCGTTCATGGAGAGGCGCCATTGGTAATCCACAGTGCCTGGGGCCAAGGAAAAGGAAAGAAAAGCAGATAGAAGAGAGATCTGAAGGCCTAAAGAGAAGAAGAGATTCAAGATATCCCCATGAAGACTTGCATCACCTGAGGTACAAGTTGGTAGTGTTCTCTTGTCGGTGAATGGCATTAACGTGGACCCGCTTACTCGCGAGGCCACAGATCATAGAAGTGAGTGAAGTACAGCTGCAGATGTTGTGGGCTTCAAAGTTCTTCAGAGTTGTTCTCCTTCTTTCGCTTACAAAGCTCCTCTTGTAACTTAGCTCTTGACCCCCAGTGTATTTCTCGTCCAGCTTTTCCAATGCTTCATTTAGGAGTTGGTGGTTCTGCTTCGACGACGACCTCTGAAGCTTCGCTTCAGAAAACCTAGGCCTCCTTCAGAACTGTAGTAGTTTCAGGGTTCTTAGATGTTCTATGATGCTCTTAAGTATCCTTTTTGATCACCAAGAACTGCCTACCTTTTTGACCCCTTTTGGTCGTTGTTTGTACTGTGATGATCCAATGACATCCACTCAGAGCTTGTGCGTGTGCCAGCTCTTCGGAAACCTTGGAGCCGGAACTGCCGCAGCCACCACAATGGACGCCACCACAATCCGACATCCGATTTGAGGCCTAATCGCTGTTAGGTCTGAGGCCATCGCTAGTAGGTCGGAGGCCATTGCTTTGAGGTTCTGTCGTTTTGCGAGATTTCGTGACTGTTTGTCTCGATCTCCCCGATCTCGCTGAATACGGGGCTTAGGTGGAGGTCACCGTGAATACGCGGGTGATCGGTCACCTTCTCAGCTCTGTCGGCTCTGTCAGCTTGGTGGAATTGGTTGCTGTTGCCTTGTCAGTTTGGATCGGTTGAACTCTGTTTCGTAGGCCTTGTGCCGGACAACTGGCCCCCGAATCCCGTCTTCGTAGCTGCAGTGGTTCCAGGAAGCCTTGCATTGACCTTGGATGTGATGTCGTCACTGGTCCCTTTCAATCATGTTTCCTTTGCACCAAAAGGCGATAGTGACGTGCTGATGTGATGACTTGTTTCTCCAAGAACCATTCAGGTCGAGGCTGAAGGTGTCAAAGCAGGAGACGAACTCTGCGCAGTGAATGGACGCTTGGTGCAGTCCTTCGAAGCAGATGACTTGGCCATCGAGCTGCGCAAGAGGCGAAAGGGGAAATTCATCTCGCCAACGGGCCACCGCGGGTTGAGCCTTTGACTGAACGATCGAAAGAACGCAATCAGCCTCCGATTCTGCAGACCTGGCTTTTTGACCTTCCGGAGAGCCTTGGTTCAACGTACGGACCTCAGCAAAAGAAAATGCAGTACAGTCAAGGGGAGCACGTGCATAGCTGAAGATGGATCATGGGGTGCAGGAGTACTGCAGGGTGGTGCAGGTAAGTTTGAATCCAACCCACACGGTTGATGGTTCGCTTACTAGGAGCAAAGGGCATCGCGGGCATCGCTACTAGGGGCAAGGACGCTAGTAGTACTAGCTCCTGGCATTACTACTAGGAGCAAGGACTTGTGCAAAACGAAATCCGGGCTCGCTGGTGCACCGCGGATTCCACCGCAGGATTTCGTATGCTCAGAGCCTGTGACAGGAAGAGCAAGCTCCGAAGGTACCACAGGAGGTTTTGGAGGAGGTTCCGGAGCAAGCTTCGAAGCAGGTTCTGCAGCAGGTTTTGGAGCAAGCTATGTTGAAAAGCTGTTATGTTGTCATCGTCCTGGCATAATTCATCATGCTGGCGTGTTGTTATGCTGACATTTTGTCATGCCGTGATGTCCGATATGTTTGTGCGCCTCAAGACGTCTAAGTAAATTTTTCCTGTCTGTTTCCTGGTGCAATCCACCATGCATGCAATTGGCCTCACCCAGCACCTCCCCTCGCATCCCTCCATCAGTTGGTAACAGAACACTCGTGTGGCTGAAGTAAAGCTGTTCTGTGGTGCCTGACAACCCTTTCAGCAGTTTGGAGCCCCATCGAGCTAAATCTTGTTTCTTAAAGAACACAGGCCATGCACAAGCCCGTGGTGCACATTTGGTTTGATTGGTCTCAGGCACAGAGCCGGGACCACTGGAGATCCTCGACCTCACCTTTGGTCCACAGCAGGTGCGGAGCACTGAGCATGATGCCCCACAAAAAGAGCGAAGATTTCAGAGATGTGGATAATGCGTTTTTGACACCCTTGAGCTTTTTTTGGCAGGTCAAAACCCTTGAGATGCTCCTTCGTAAAAACAATATCATTCTTCAATTCTCTTTTCTCCATCAACCTCCCTCTGCCACAATTGCCAATACTACCGTGATCTACCATTTCTTCCCTCCAATCGGGCTCCTACAATGTCCGGAACCCGAACACATTCAACAAAGCTCACAGTTCGGGGCGATGATTGTTTGGATGTGAACGAAGTCTGATTGGAGCCCTCTTGGTAGGAACAAGAAGCTACTAGTAGCTCCTGGCATCGCTACTAGG